GGCATTCGAGGTCTGGCGACACTACCTCGAAGGCGCCCAACACCCAGTCCAAGTCCTTACCGACCACAAGAACTTGGAATACCTGGCGTCGGCCCGCATCCTCAACCAGCGACACGCCCGGTGGTCGCAGTTCCTGTCTCGGTTCGACCTCCGGATTCAATACCTCCCCGGTCCAAAGAACGGCAAGGCCGACGCTCTCTCCCGCCGCCCGGACTACGTCCCTCCGTCCGCACCTGTGTCCAAGGAGCCTCCCCCGTTGCTGCCACCTTCGGCGTTCGCCTGTGCCGTCCGTCGCTCCTCGGATGCAAGTTCCACTCGCCCTGTGGACTTGCTCAAGCTCATTGCCGAGGAGCAACCAAAGGACCCGTCCCTGGACCAGCTCCGCAACGATCCCAAGTATGTCCTGAAGGATGATCTCCTCACCTTCATGGACAAGATCGTTGTGCCAGAGTCGTGTCGAGTCCCCGTCCTCAAGTCATGCCACGACCCTGTCGCTGTTGGACATCCTGGCATTCGGCGGACCCGAGCACTGATCTCGAGGCAGTTCTGGTGGCCCTCGATCCGCAAGGATGTCCAGGCTTATGTCTCGACGTGCGACACTTGTGCACGCTCGAAAGTCCCTCGACATAAGCCGTTTGGATACTTGCAGCCCCTCCCGACGGCATCGCGACCCTGGTCTCTGGTGACGATGGACTTTATCACCGACCTCCCCGAGTCCAACGGCAAGACTTGCATCTTTGTCGTCGTCGATAGCCTGACCAAGATGGCCCACTTCCTTCCCTGTCGGTCCCTCCCAAGTGCCGAGGAAACAGCGTCGCTGTTCCTCGACAACATCTTCCGCCTCCACGGTCTCCCGGACAACATCGTCTCGGACCGAGGAAGCCAGTTCACCTCGCGGTTCTGGCAGGCCCTGTGCTCGGAACTCGGCATCAAGACCAGTCTGTCCACGGCGTTCCATCCCCAAACCGATGGACAGACTGAGCGGGTCAACCAAGTCATCAACCAGCATCTCCGCTGCTACACCTCGTACCAGCAGGATGACTGGGCGATGCTGCTCCCGCTCGCCGAGTTCTCATACAACAACCTCGAGCACACCTCGACCAAGGCCTCCCCGTTCCTGGCGACTTACGGCTTCAACCCTCGATTCGAGTCTCCGGTCCTTCCTTCCAGTCTCGATGTCCCCTCCGCGACCGACCGAGTCGAACACCTTCAGCACAACTTGGCGTTGCTGAAGGAGAACCTCGAGAAGGCCAAGGCGGACTACAAGCGCTTTGCGGATGCCCACAAGTCCGACGCTCCCAAGTTCGCTCCTGGCGATCAAGTCTGGGTCCTAACACGCAACATCAAGACCACCCGTCCAAGCAAGAAGTTGGACTACCAGCGCATCGGACCCTACAAGATCGTCGAAGCCATCGGTTCCCTCGCCTTCCGCCTCGACCTTCCCAAGGATCTCAAGATCCATCCGGTGTTCCATGTCTCCCTCCTCGAGCCCCACAAGTCGAACACCCTCCCCGGCCGCATCCAAGACCCTCCTCCGCCAGTCCGCGTCGACGACCACTTGGAGTATGAAGTTCAGGAGATCCTCGACTCCAAGCTGGTCCGCGGTAAGTTGAGCTATTTCGTTGATTGGAAGGGCTACTCGACTGATCATCGCAGCTGGGAGCCCGCCAACTACGTTAACGCTCCCGACAAGATAGCCGACTTCCACCGCCGGTACCCCGACAAGCCTGGACTTATTGTTCGTAGGAGTGGCCGTAGTTTGGGGAGGGGATGATGTGATGATCATGCACGTTGGGAACACGTGTGGACTGCTGCGCGTGATGCACCGTGAGTCATGTTTGTTTGTCTTGGCGTGTATTCCCTGATTGGCTGGCGCCGATGACTCTTACTTCGCCTCCGACTGCGCTGTGCTTCGCCCCTCTCGCTGGATGCTCCGCCTCCCTCGCACCCCCTTCTCGTCCCTCGTTTGTCGCTCCACCCTTCTCGCCCACTTTCGCCCTTCGGTTTCCCTCTTGGCTATAAAGCCCCTCCTTTCTTGCACCCATTTTGTATCTTCAGTTCGAACAACACTTGTTGTTATCTGATAAGTCGTAATATAGCTTATCGTTGTTCGCCAAGCACCTGGTCGTCCAGTGTCGTTGCTTGTCGTGGTCCTCACAGAGACTCCCATTTCACATCGAACTTTTGGATAAAAGTCCTGACCACGCTTAAGATTTCCCAGAAGCTTACGACGGCCCGGCACCAACAGGCCAATGGCCAAGCCGAAGCAACGGTCAAGGACCTCAAGCAAAGACTGGTCCCATTCGCCAACTACAAGGGCGATAATTGGGACGAGGTGGTGCACCTGCTGGAGTTTGGACACAACGACTCGGTGCACACCTCCACCGGATTCTCCCCATTCTATTTGGCATTCGGGGTACACCCAAGGACGATGCCAGGCAACGAGCATGCCACCGATGATCGAGTGGCAACCTGGAGTCTCCTGGAGGACCTCGAAGCCATACGAAGGATTGCAACACAACAACTCCAGGAGGCTCAGGATCATCAAACCCGGAGCGGGAACGAGAGAAGACAGGCGGGGGAGGAGCTCAAGGTTGGAGACATGGTCCTCCTTGAGCGCGAAGGTATCAACTGGGAGGCCCACAAGTTCAGGCCAGACCAAATCATCCCGCGTCGGCTGGGTCCGTTCAAGATTACGGAGATCGAAGGACTCAACCACACCCTGGAGCTACCCCCTACACTAAGCCACATACACCCGACATTCCACCGCAAACTCCTGCGGAAGTTTATTGAGACGCCGGACGACTTCGCTTCAAGAGCGACTTACACAAGACCACCTGCAATCTCCTACGTCGAACCAATATTCAAGGTGGAGAAGTTGGTCAACGACAGAAAATACCGCAAGAAGCAACAGTACCTGGTACTGTGGGAAGGATATCCCCTTGAAGATGCCACTTGGGAATACGAAGACAACATCGCGGATGATGTGATAGAGGAATACTGGAGAGAGAAGGAGGTGGGTGTAGGGAGTAGTATGTAGTTAGAAATTTGATTTCAAATTTAGGGGGGGTGTGACACGATTGAGGATAATCGAGGTATAGCCGTGAGCGAGAGCTTTCTTACGATACCGATTTCATCCAGAACGGATGAGAACTGACTGCTGTAGCACCGTGGGAAAAATTGTAGTATATCGAGGGAGTAGTCCTGGGTTACTGTGTGTGTGTGTGTAGCTGGGGAACGGATAAGGAAATGGGGCACGCTCCTGTATGACTCTGGGCGCGTCAACGCGTCAGGCTGCTGGACATATACGGCCGCCACCTCGCCCTGCTCTGCTGGAGATCATCTGGAAAAATATAGTGGCCTTGGCTACACCGTAGCGGGCCTCAAGGAGGGTGCAAAACTGGCGGAAGTCTTGAAGCGCAGGGTCCTCAGTGCGGACGAGGCTTGCGAACCAGTCGGCGGGCGGGCCGGAGAGGAGCGAACCGACGAGGCCAACTCTGTGGCTGGCAGTTGGATAGCGGGCATCGTTCAGGGTTAGGACGATGTTGACCTTCGTGAGGAAGGTCCTGAGTTGACGGCGGTCCCCGGTAAACGGGTCGGGGAGACGGATGACGGGATCAGCCATAGCGAGGACGGGGTGAGGAAGAGAAGTCAAATGTAACGGACGGGGCGAGGGTGGACCGAGGCGAGGGCAAATAGGCAGGGCGAACAGGCAGGGCAAACGGGGACGGGGCCGAAAGGCGAAACTGGGAGCTGGACAGGAATATATTGCAGGAGGGGAGAGTACAGATGACTTCTCTTGCTGGGCTCTCGTGGGGCCGGAGGGGCAGCCCTTATATACTGAGGCCCAGCAAGAGACGATCGCGCGTGGCTTGGAACCAGCCAACGCACGCCCGATGTGGCGACCACGCCGGGTCGTCACAAGGGTCATTACTAGCAAAGTTTGATGAAGATTTAGTCAAAACTGACTGAGTCGTCATGTTTCATGTCTTAAAGTACAAAATATTGGACCACTTTTCGAAACCACTGTAACTCTACCTACCAACATTCATGCCCCAAGTGGATTATTCTCTTTCTCCAGTGCAAAGCGTACCTTTACCTCGGCAATACAACTTCGAAGGAATTAGCATTTCTATCTCTTGATACGCTCAATCACTTCTCTTTCCCGCATTCTCCCTTGGCCAATATTATTCATGTACTACCGTCACTACCCACAACGCCCCGGCTGAACTTTCTAGGTGACCTTTGACAACGAGCTCAACACCTCGCAGGTGTGCAGCGCTTGCCATGAACACCTTCGACCCAATGATCAGGATGCACTCGGAGTTGCATATTCCCACTTTGTCAGGAGCCGTATCTCGATTGTGGAGACTGTAGAGTGTCTCGAGGTCTTCACTCGGAGGTGTATTGTTAAATTGCTAATGGCTCTGTTGGACCCAAGCCATCTCATATTACACTTACCTATGCTCTTTGATCTACTCACTCGTTTCTCACTGAACACAGCGCAAAGTCCCACATTCTCGATACTATGACCATCTTCATTTCCACTATTTTGTTCTTCCCCGCCTGCTCGTTCACCTCGCGTCTCAGGCATTGTTTGTAACTCTTCCGTGTGTTGATAAATGCCAAAATGGGCTCCTCGTTATCCCGATCATCGAGATGACTTCGATCCTGTATTTTCCTATTCACTGCAATGTACTCCTGGTAGTGACGACAAGTCTTGGCCGCACAATTCCTCCATCCATATTTTATCGTCGCTTCTTGGTATCTTGTTGGGAGGCTAGCTTGATCCGCGGCCTATATCTCCCAAATAATATCGTTCCATGCCTGGAACCATCCTCAAACGTCTCACCACCGAATGTAATGAATCATCAACACATGAGGAATCTTGTGAAGGTTCCATATCATTGGCTCTCGCCCCAGAACCACCTCGATTACACTTATGATGCACACTCCGATTCACGCCACTCCCACAAATTTGTTCGCCATGTACTCGAGACTGGGTTGGGAGCTTGAATTTATATGAGTCCTGTGAGCTCAAGCACGCACCCGAGCCCCCACACATCGGCAATCATGGTGTTATTCGGGTGATTTAACTCCTCAGATGATGAATCATCTGACAAACATTCATCCTCCCTGAAAGCTCTGTAAACCCACGGCGAGTCGCCTCCGCATATCGCCACTTCCATATGATGGAATCCCTTGGTTACATCCTCGTGACCTTAATGGCCATGAGGATCTTCCTCCTTCTGTGGGGGGTCGAGCTTGATCATGTCGCTATAAGGAGAGGGATATTCGTTTGTTTAGTTCCAAAGTCGGCGGCCTCACCGATCACCTTGATCTCACTCTCGCCTTCCTCCGTCGCCACCACTCTCTTTCATTGATGAACGTACTCAATACGCAGGAGAGCGATTGCTGCTTCGGTGGCAGCCTTGAGTGACTTGATTTTGGAGATGGCAGGTTCCAAAACACCGGCTTTCATATTGTCACGAACAGTGCCGTTGATCAACTCAAGGCCAGACCTGAGTCGAGTACACCACAAGGACAAGAAGCATCGTTCCTTAATAAGCCTTGAAAGAGAACTCTGCACCGTCAGGATTGTATCATACTTACCATCGAAGATTGCGCTTTGCTTCGTCGGCGCCAGTGGCCTGGGAAGCGTTATGATAGGCCCGGAGACGGGCGATCAAATCGGTGGAATCTTTGGCGGCATTTACGGCAAGGGTTTTCGGAATCACGAGAAGGGCGTGGGCGAACTCTGCAATGGCGAGCTGTTCGCGCGAGCTCTGATGTCAAAGAAGCATTCATTAGGAGCCGTGACGGAGGCCATTTTGGTCCTAGATGCTTGGCACTGGATTCAATATGCTGTGGAGCTCTCGGTGTTTGCAATTGATCCAATCATCTCACCAGGGAGGTCGCAAAGTTTTCGAGGTAGATGGACAAGGCGGCTTCGACAGCTCCTCCACCTGGGACAACCGCGTTGCTTTCCAACGTTCGCTTGATAGCGCAAAGGCTGTCGTGGACAGAGCGCTCGACTTCATCCAGCATATAGTCATTCGCTCCCCGGAGAATGATCGATGCGGCACTATGAACCTTGGTGCCCTTGATGAGAATGCATTCGTCATCGGAGATCCGCTCCTGCACAACTTCATCAGCGTATCCGAGGTATCCGGTTTCGAATGTTTCTTCGCCCTCCAGATTGGCAAGGGTAGAAATAAGCGTGGCTAATTCGCAGCAATGCGAAGAGACAGAAAAGCGGCCCACAGTAGATGAGCGCGGGCCGGGAGGCAGCCGATTCTCCAATTCCGCAGTTTCCGTCGTTGTGGTTGCGGCAAATTCACCTTTCGCCCACATTCATACCTCCGGAAGCCTTGGCGATCCTCTTGAGGTCGTCCTTTTTCACGCGACGCACGGCCATAGCTCCGGCTTCGACAAAGAGCTTGAGGCAAAGATCGTCAATGCCCTTGGTGGTCAAAATGACGTTGGCTCCGGAGGCAAGGATCTTCTTGATCCGCTCGGTCGTAATTTCGATTTCCCTTGATAGGAAAAGAAGCGTATCAGGCAACAAGCCACTGTAGAACCTGCCGAGCTTTGTACACGCCGGCATACCTGCGACGAATGTCCTCAAGCTTGTCAGGGTCATCAATTACAATATTGACACCGAGGTGCATTCTGGCCTTTTGGAGGTTAATGTCGAGGCAGGCGATTTTTGCATCGATGACACGCGTTTTCATGGCTGCGCCAGGGATAACGGTGGTGGATTTTAGCTCGTGCTCAGTACCCGTCTTGCTCTGTATCAACTCCTTGGACCCAACACCAGCACCACTTCATTTCAGCGAACCTTGAGAAGCAACAGTGCAGTTCAAAGCGTAGCCCTTCACGAAAATGCTCTCGCGGGTTGATTTGCCATGGGCCTTCAGAATGTTGACGGCTTTGATTGGATACTTGACTTCTCCCTTTGGACTGGTGGTCTTCACAGCCAACATAGCGTCAACAACCATGCGGGAGAAGAATTCATCGTCACTAGTTTCATGGATTTTGTCAGCTGCTGGGCAGAGGCACTCATTTCCAAATCCAATACCTGCCCGCTTGTCCCCAGCTTGGGCGCACTGACTGGGCTGTACTGCTTAGGCTGAGCACATGGAGACGATAGCACACCTGCCAATGATCTTGGAAGACATGGACGTTTTGGCAATGTTGATCAGGCAGTCCTTGCCAAGAGCGTCGACTTTGACAGCCATTTGATCGGTAATAAACTTGATAGCCTCTTTTTGAGCCAAGCGGTAGCCCGATATGATTGTGGTCGGATGGATCCTGTTGCGGGTCAGCTCCGAGGCACGTTTCAAAAGCTCGGCGGCGATGATGACCACAGATGTAGTGCCATCGCCGACCTCTTTATCCTGCTGCTGGGCAAGTTCCACAAGGACCTTCCCGGCAGGGTGTTCGACCTCAAGCAGCCTCAAGATGGTTGCTCCATCATTGGAAATCGTGACGTCCTGCCAGAGTTGGGGCGATCGTCCAGCGTTAGTGATCTATCGACATTCTGAAATCGGATGTACTCAACGCGTCTGACCAGCGACCGCTCTCTGTCCGAAGCAGTGGATACTTTGTGACAGATAATCCAATCGCCCCAGATCAGCTCACTCGAGCACACGGCGGCTCTGGCTCGTCAAAAGATGTTGGTAACTCCCTCTGCCTATGATCGATCCCGCCCACAATTCGACCCAGATCAGCCTCCTCCTGGCCCTGAGAGCCACAAGGTGGCGATCTTGCCTGTGGAATCCATCAGAGCGAGATAGCGTTGCCCTTGGGTTATGAGCGCACAAGTTAAAGAACACAAATTTACCCCAATGTCATCGACGAGCATCTTGTCCAAGCCGACAGGGCCGAGGGAGCTCTTGACAATGTTGGCGATCGCGACAGCAGCCAAAACTAGAGGTGGAAAAAAAAATCGTTTGTCACGGCCTCTATGGAAAAGTAGCGATCCACGAACAAGCCCCAATCCAAATCGTTCAGCTATCTCAGCAGGCTGCCTGAGATCTGCTCCAGGGAAGCCAGACCCTGAGGGCACTTTGCGATCCACCAGCCGGAGACAGGGAATGCAGGCGTCACATACCATTCTGCGATCGGACTTCTGAGCCTGAGGTTCTGTTTCCACCGATAGCAAGCGCTTTCTCTACAGCCATCTTGACGAGGTCTCGGAGGTGCCAGGGAGACGGGGGTGATTGGGACAGCCGATGCGATCGCTGGTGTGGAGGAGACGGGGCACCTGGGTCCCTGGGCTGGGGAAACTGGCGGGGCTGGGTTGCAGCCAGGGCGAGGACCAGCGAGGACCAGCGAGAGCCTGCGAGAGTCTGCGAGGACGAGCGAGACGATTGTCCACGTGTCCCCCGCAAATGGAAACCCCGAAAATGAATTCTTCATTCGCTGCGCTTCATGCAGCAGCCAGCCTGTGGCCTGCCACCGGTCGAGTGGCGGGCTGGCTCGATCCGGTCTCCGCCCATGAGCCGTTTTTTTCGCGACTGTTGTCGGCCCTTGGTTTCCGGCTGCTTCTTCTTACCACTGCCGCCGGCTCTTCATCTCCCGTATCCAAGTCTTGCCAGCGATCGTCTCGTTCGCGCCTGCCTCTGGCCCTTTGTTTCCTACTCCAGCTCAAAAACACCCACCACAGCCGGCCATTTTCTTGGACAAACCCGTGGACCCAGTCATGGATCAATCTAGCCCCCAGGAGCCATACTCCTTCAGCTCCTTCCAGCCCAAGACCAACCTTCCCTACCCAACCGTGCCCCCGCAGTTGACCCAATTTCGGACTGGTAGCAGCCTCCCATTCCAGCCGCTCTCTGAAGTGGAGTCGGACCCGATCACTAACAAAAGCGGGTTCTGGGCGGAAGGCGATGCCCAAGAGAGCGCAATGTCCTCCAGGGAAATCCTAGTTTATGCTGGACTCAAGTTTCTTGCATCGGCCCTTGTCTGCCCCTTCGAGGCCGTCAATATTCTCAGGGTAAGTTGTGACCGGTCGGCTTGGTAGACCGAGTGACTCATATCTCCACGAGCCTGGGCATCGTCATAACATTCTATAAAGTCGTGCCCCCCCCCCACAAGCGCATTGTATCATCAAGCGCCGTACCGATGCCTGTCGTTGGTCGCTCTCCTCCCCAGGGGCGACCGTTTCTACCCGCCTTCCCCAGCTAATTCCTGCGTCACCGTCTTTTCATCACGCCTCGAGCAGCAAATTCAATATAGCCCCTCGGACTTCCATCAGGCCCAGCTCTCGATGTCGGATGAACCCGGAGCCACCCACACCAACCACCCACCGGATGTATGGTCTGCGTCCTGGAGATGCCACATTTGCTCCGCCTGTTGGTCGCTTGTGCCGAAACACCTTGAGCGATTTTGTGTCTCCGTGGCCCCTTCCTTTCAGCACTGCCCTCGACAACCGGGATCGACTGATCGACTGATCGACTGATCGACTGATCGACTGATCGACTGATCGACTGATCGACTGATCGACTGATCGACTGATCGACTGATCGACTGATCGACTGATCGACTGATCGACTGATCGACTGATCGACTTATTCCCCTCGACTCCCACTCGACTCTATGTAGCTGGAACAGGATTTTGAAGATTCAGATACCGCAGCTGGCGACCAGTCGGATCCATACCACCTCGCTTCCACCCAGCCCCAGAAGCATGACAATCGGCAATACCGGGGCCCAAAATCGTCTGTAGACTCGGCAGGGTATCTAATTCAAACATCGTTCGATAGAAACGACCCAACCCGTCCTGCGTTCAAACTTCCGATACTGGAAGGATCCGCCTTTTCTTCTATTGCCCAGATTGTGCGCCAGGAATCGCTCGCTTCCCTATGGAAAGGTCTGCCTCAGCTAGATCCGACATGTCGTTGCCATGAGAAAGCACTTGCGCAAATCAATCTCGTAGATGGATGTGACCCCTAGTTCTCCCCCCCCCACTTTGTCTCTCAAGCCCGGTTTGCTCATCGAATGTTCATAACCGGTCCTGTAGGTCAATTTTCCCATTGGTGCTTTGATATGAGCCACATGTTCATGCAACCCTCTGTGGAAACAATGCTCAACGACACCTTTGAAATCGCGGATGCATCCATTCCCCTTGTTCATCTGCAGCACCCTGGACCGAATCTCACCACCATTGTGGCGAGCTATGCCCTGACTGGATTCATTCTCTCCCCGCTAGATCTCGTGCGGACACGGTACGAGCCCTATTTTGCTACAAATGGAGTAAATCCGCTTGATGTATCTTATCCATAACCTTGCAGTTCATGGATTTAGCCGATAGTTGCCTAACATGACGCTGATTTTGCGACCGTTGGCTGATCGTCGTCCCGGATTTCCTAGCTTGATTGCCCAGACTGCTCACCGCCACCATCGAAAATATAAGGGTACACTCCACGCGCTGTCGACTGTCCTCGAGGAAGAAGGTCTCACCACGCTCTATTTCGGAACTCACTGCCTTCCCACCTTGATCCACTTCACTGTCCAACCATTCTTTAAGAACGCCACGCAGCTGATCATCCAGCGATGGCTGAGGTTGTCTTCGGATGAGTCGCCCCTCACCGTCCTTGTGGCTGAAGTTGGTCTGATCGGGCTCGAAATATTCATCTCCATGCCGATCGAGACAGTCAAGCGTCGACTCCAGTGCCAGGTATCGACGCCGTTTCCCAAAGAGCCCAAATACGAAACCATGATTCAGCAGAGCAAGATACCCTACACGAGCTTTTGGGACTGCTTCTGGCGAATTATCAAGGAAGAAGGTGGGGTCAGAGTCAAGGGCCGTCATGGTAAAGTGTCACGCCGCAGAGGCTGGCTGAGTACCTGGGGGCTCAAGGGTCTGTACAAAGGCTGGAAGCAGCGCCTCGCCGCCAGAATTCTGCTATTGCTGCTCAACACTCTCACCAATGCTCTTGAAGATTCGGAACCATGATCGATCGCCGCGCGTCATCAGTCGGAATCTTCGAACCTACCTTCCGCCGCCCATCATCGATTCGAGATGCAGCACAGCTTATTAGGACTACCTACCATATCTTGACCATTGAATACATGTCCACTGCGACTGATCCTTGACTCCTGGCGACAGACCTCGCTGTCAGGCTTGATAAGGCCTCGTGGGCAAGGCAAGCCATCGTAATTTAGCTCTGGATCATTCCATGACTGAAGATGAGCCATAGTTCAGAGCAGGTCTCATCAATGGGTATCTGATTGAGTCGTTCTTCAGCAGTTGCTATGCCAGTCGCCGTCGACAGGCTTCTGTTGGACCAAGTGGCTGTCAGTCACGCGTGACACTGATCCCATAGATCAATCTTCATGGCCAAGGATCGATCTACGCATCATGACCAGCAATGATTACAGCGTATCCACCAAAAAACGGGACACCCAGGGTTTTGACCATTGATCAATATTTTGTTACCCAATACCATCGCGCGCTGGCCATGACCATTCGCCACACAACCACTCTCCAGAGGAAAGTTTCACTCTCACTCTGCCACACTGCCCTACAGCGAGCAGGTCTCTCACACAAGAGTGCAACACACCTCTACAAGTCCAAGCGACTGGATGAGCGAGTGGCACAGTTCAGGGACCAGGTCCGCTCCATCGACCCACGACGATTCGTTTTTGTCGATGAGACAGGGATCAGGAAATCCATTTTCCCTCTCTACGGATACTCACCGAAGGGTGCTCCGCTTCGCCAGCGCAATCACATGAAACACAAGTCCGTCTCGGCTGCATTTGCCATCAACCACTCTGGTGTGCTGCATCGCATGTACATCCCCACATCATTCAAGACACACTCGATGGTCGAGTTCTTTGAGCGAGCGAGCTTCCCAGACGACTCTGTGATTGTGATGGACAATGTCAGCATGCACAAGACACGGGCTGTCCTGGACTGCATCGAGCGCCGAGGATGGTCAGTGATCTTCACCCCACCTGCCTCGCCCGACTTCAATCCCATCGAGAACTTCTTTGGGGTTGAGTCCCCACCGATTTGGGGTTGAGTTCCTCCAATTTGGGGTTGTCCCTCCAATCAAGCCGCCATTTTCACGCCCAAATCCCTGGCTTGAACCTCTCGGCGATTTTTGAACAGGGTCGCTTCCAACCAGCCCGCAAAGACGGGTTCCTGCTCTCGGGTATAAATGTCCCACCTTCGTCCTGCTGCTTTCTTCCCTCACCTCGCCTTGATCGGATCATCGCGCTATTGTACGATAAAAAAAAGTCTCTGCTCTGACCAGTACCACTGGCAGGCACCCAGCATCCTCTGCCCCCATGCCTCCGAAGCGTAAGGGTACCGGTAATGGCCAGCCTCGGCCACCCAGGCCCAAGAAAGCCAAGTCACAGTCGGAGCCTGTCTCTGGTTCGTATTCTGATCCCACGCATGCTTGGTCGTCTGTTGCTCCGTCGCTCACCACCACTGCTTCTGCAGATCCAATGGATGTCGATCCCACCGAGCCTGGTCCCTCATCTGGTCCTGTCAAGCGATGTCCCAAGTGCGACGGTACCGACCACGAGCGAAGCAACACCAACAGGTGTCCCGAATATCACCCCCTCAAGAGTTCTGTCGTCCCACTCGTGGATGGAAGGTCATCTGCCCCTCAGTTCAGCTGCTTCAAGCAGACGATGGATGGCTGTTGTCTCAATCCCGCTCTCCGCGACAAGATCCAGGCCACCGTCGAGGCCATGACCCAGATCCAGTTCGAGGCATCCAGGCTGCTCAACCTGCACATCCTCCGGTGCATCGAGCAGGATCTTCCCGTCCCCGTCATCTCCAAGTCCACCCCTGCTTTCATCCGCCAATGCTTCAAGATCGTCCAGGACGGTGCGCTCTCCCCGACCAGGGACACCAAGAAATACAACGAGCATCTGGTCGCTTCCTTTCGCGACTATCAGACCACTCGGCACGCAGACCTGCCTCCGGCCCCTCGTCTGCCTGATGGTGCTCACAGTCAGCTTCTCACACTGGCTGTCAATGCCTATGCCACCAACTGCACCACGCACCTCGATCTGGCCTACTGGCGACTCCTTCGCCGCTTCTGCGCTGCCGTCTTCCCAGCCAACAAGCACAAGCACGAAGCCATCGAGGCTTGTCTCGAGCTCTTCGAGAAACCAGGGCAGACTCCACCCAAGGCCGATCTCGAGTTCCTCTATCCAGACTTTGGCCACGTCCTGGACGAGTTTCGGTACAGCAACGACCAGGACCGCTTCCGGGCCCTACATCGCCTCTCACACCATGTGGGAATCCTCGCCCGGGACAAGATGGTCGACAATGTCCACAAGTGGATCGACTGTGACATGCCCGCCCTCCGAGTCACCGAGCTGCAGCGCCAGGCCAAGCTGGACGAGCTCACTGCCAGAGGCATTCCCTCCGACGACAAGAGGTTCACCAACGCCAAGTCTGAGCTCGGCACCACCAAGGCCAAGATCAACAAGCTGGCATCCAGACTCAAGTGGGCCCTCAAGCAGCTCGCTCTGGACACTCCTCCGGCCGTGTGCACGATGGTCCCTCTGTGCACTGCGAAGGCCAAGTATGTCAAGATTGACACGGCCACTCTTTGGCAACTCCTGGGTCCAAAGAAGCGCCTTGACCTCACCAGGGACAAGCTCAAGGAAGAAGGTGATGACGGTGTCAACAACCAGGATCGTCTCTGGCGCAGTTGCTTCAAGCTGCGTAGTTCCCCCTTCCGTGACCGGGATATCAATCACAAGCTGTTCAACTACGAGATCAGCACCGATGGCATTGGATGCACCATCGGTCTCGTCAAGTTTGTGCGTCGAACCGATCGCACCGAGACCATCGAGCCTCCTCCGACTGCCGAGCAGCGCATCCAGGCCATCGGCAACCCAGACCCCAACCGCACCACTTGGATTGGAATTGACCCAGGCGTCGGCTCCATCTTCACGGCGGTCATCCAAGCACCGGGCCACCAAGACGAGGTGGTCTCATTCTCGAATGGTCACTATCAGCACATGTGTGGCCACAGGTCCGATACTAAGTGGCACAATACCAAGAAGAAGCAGCTCAGCATCGAGACCTGGATGTCGACCACCCCCTCGCCCAAGGTGTCGTCCTCGGAGGCTTTCAAGGTCCATCTCACCCATGTCCTGCGACCGGAGCTGCGAGTGCAGCTCGACTTCCACCTTGGCAAGAAGGCCCGTCACCATCGCTTCACGGGCCACAAGAGGCGCCAAGTGGCCGTCGACAGGATGTGCAAGGCCGTCCTGAAGCACGCCCCGATACGGACCGATGTGGTCATCGCCTTTGGCAATGCGTCATGGCGTCAAGGCAAGGGCTATGCATCCAGCCCTCGGAGGCAGCGGTTTGCTCAGTACTTTGAGCAATTCGAGCACCACCGACGCCGTCCCAATCACCATCATGGAAGCGTCAAGGTGGCCTCGACGAACGAGTTCAACACCTCGCAGGTGTGCTCCAAGTGCCTGGAGCCAGTTCGGTTGGAAGGACTCGATGCGCCCAGTGTTGCGAATTCCCACTTTGTCAGGAGCTGCAAGAATCCCAGCTGCCGGACAGTGTGGAATCGCGACGTCAATGCGGCGCGCAACATGATCACAGTATGCAGGTCGATTGTGGAGATCGGAGAGCGACCGGCGGTCTTCACTCGGAGGCTGCCAAAGTGATCTGTTTTATTTCTTGTGGCTTTGCTTGACGCAAGCACATCGCATACTACAGGTTCATGGAAACGGCTATATTGTCCCGTTTTTTTTCTGAATAAAGTGTACGATGGATTGCTGCACACCAACCTCGATTTCATTTTGACCGCTCTTGCGCAGTGGCCAGACTGGTGATCGAGTAGCCACGGTATACTTTATTCAGAAATAACGGGACACCACACCCGCTTTCATCAAGATGTAGTCTGTGATGAGCTCGCGTCAAACAAAGCCATGAGAAATAGAACAGATCACTATGACAGCCTCCAAGTGAAGGCTACCGGTCGCTCTCCGTCTTCACAATCGACCTACACACTGGTATCGGAGCGCCAGCGGTGAATGGTGCTCTTGGACACACTGAATGACGGTGTAGCACCGCAACGCAGAATGGTCATAGCCAGCGTGGGTAACAAAATATTCGGCCCATGACCAAATCACCAGGGTGACCCGATTGACTGTTAACAATGCTAGTGCAGTGAAGGATTCGGATGGGAGGGTCGACGCAGCGTCTGTGTTCCGTCGTCGAAACCCGATATCTATGGGGGAGGGGGCCGTGAGAGTGCAGGGAGAGGGTCTTTGATTCACTTGATATTGTGTGTCGTCAGAACAATGATCCGCTCGTTTAGAACAATACCGTGGCTGTCGGCCCTTCCGGCAATCGAGAATAGCCGCAGCCAGACCAAGCGGAGCGTGACCCATAGCAGCAACAGGCGACGAAGGGGCGATGTTCTCTGCATTTCAAAGGCAGTTGGCTCTGGACGAAGGGGCTCACGATATCCCTTTCACTCCACCCACAATGTGGTCCTTACAGCAATTTGTTCAGAACGAAACATATCAAGAAGCACGCGACTACTTTGAGCGCAACCAAATTAATCAGCTTCTCGAGGTTAGTTGATACAACGACGATCATTGAGCCTAGAGTTCGATGTTTGGGGCTTCTGGCCGCCCACCCCCGGAAGTGTGATCCTCACTCGATCTTTGGTGAGCTGGATTTCCCAGCTCGATGGACGGCGCCGTGCCCCGGTCGCTAAAACCCTGAGCATGTGCTTGGATATCACAGAGCATCATTACGGGTTTGACATTTGCACAGCCGGACGACCCGCTGCTCTTCATCGAAGATTGCATCAGCCGAATCCGGGCAGAGAAGCTCCTATCGGAGAAATCGCGCATTCGATGGGATCTGTTCATTCCCGCCGAAGCGAAAGAGGAGCAGCTCCAGCGAGAACTCTCGCTCAGGTCCCTTCTTGAACAAGACCCTCTCAGGCCAACGCTCAACCGGAAGAAATATCGCATTGCACCCCTTCCTCTGTTGCCAACAAAGAAGGTAAGAAGACTCGGTGGCTCGGTGCCGAAGAGTTACAGGCGTGGTCGCTGTCGTGCCGAGCCAACCCCATCAAATGATGTGTGTTTCCTGCAGCCCAGCACATCCAACGATCTCCAGAGAGTCTCGACCCCAGCAGATATACGCAGTGCAAGCGTGGCTTTTGCAGCAGATGCCATCCCGGCCAAGGCTGTCCTGCCCGGAATTCCACCCAACGGACAATCCAGGCCTCGAGGCAATATCGTATTCGTCCTCGGAGGTCCGGGATCTGGTAAGCAACGTCGGTGAGTGGCATTGGTGGCGATTGTCACGGTGATGATCTTGTCTTCCACTTGCACTTCCTCACGAACTCGGCTCTGGAAATTGAGACCCTTGATCGGATGCTGGCTCCTCCGAGCTCCGGCTAGAGGCAGCACCCGAAAGTCTGATATCCTGGCATATGTATCTCGCCACCGATGCTGCCGATGCGTTGGTTGACCAGGAAAAGGAACCCAGTGCGTCAGACTAGCCCAAGAATTCAAGTACGCTCACTTGTCTGCTGGGGATTTGTTGCGGCAAGAAGTCTCCAGTAATTCTCCAATGGCCAAGGAAATCGACTCAATTATGAAGGAGGGGAAGATCGTGCCGATGGTATGGCCATATGCCGCCTGCAATGAAAAAGCAACGCCCCGTGCCATGCGATTCCGACTCGGGCTGATCGACCACTTGTCCTTGTGAATGACTCTGCGGTGTGTGGCAGGAAATCACGATTCGGCTCCTCCGCCAGGCCATGGATGCCGCAAAAGACTGCCCTGGGTTTCTTATCGATGGCTTCCCGAGACAGCTCGACCAAGCCAAAGTGTTTGAAGAACAGATTGCCGCATGCAAACTTGTTCTGTTCTTTGATTGCCCCGAGCCTGTCTTGGAGAAGCGCTTGTTGAAACGGGGAGAGACCAGCGGCCGAGCAGACGACAACATCGATACGATCAAGAAACGCTTCAAGACCTTTGTCGATACCAGCTATCCTGTTATCGAGTACTTCACCCGCCTCGGCAGGTGTGCCAAGGCAGGTGCATGCTATGTGCGGCTGTGCTGTGAATAAGTCATGGCGCAGTGTGGCCGTGTTTGCGGCGTTGCCTCATTTCTTCCCCACAACCCCCCCCTACCGGGTTTCTCCAGATTTCGTCCGAACCGCCAGTCGACCAAGTTTACGCCCAAGCCAGAATGAATCTTGTCGAGGGGCCGCTCAATCATCCGAACGTTATATTTGTGCTCGGTGAGTGTGTGTTTTTGATGTGGTGAACAGAGCCAATGCACTCATGATGAATCCCGGCTGCAATATTGTTTCCTGTTTCCCTGTTTCCCTGTTTCCCTGTTTCCCTGTTTCCCTGTTTCCCTGTTTCCCTGTTTCCCTGTTTCCCTGTTTCCCTGGTTCTCTCACCGTCCCTTGGCCCTGTCGGATGGAGGGCCACCTCCTATCCGTCGTTGCGGGGTGGGGTGTGTACAGAAATGGAACTACATAATGCTCAGAAAGCAGCCATGATAATATCCATTCCAACGTGGGCTCTCGCTCCTGCTCTCGAATGAACTTTAGGTGGACCGGGATCCGGAAAAGGAACACAATGTGCCATACTGGCCAAGCAGTTCAGACTCGCGCATCTCAGCGCAGGTGATTTATTGCGGCATGAAGTCGAGACGGGCTCGGTCGTTGGTCAGCAAGCCTCCGGTCTCATGAAGGAAGGGAAGATCGTACCAATGGTGAGCCATTGACAGTCGGCTCTGGTCGACAGTGCAGTCATGTTCCCATCGGGCATCACTCCCTTGTATACCGCTGCTATGCATTACATTGCGTTCTTCCTCATTCCAGCATCGATCTGGCTCCACACTCGATCTCGATCTCGATGCATTGTGGGCTTCTGAGCCCATCAGAAAACTAATAACGTACTCAAACTCATGCCCATCCAGGAAATCACCATTAGCTTGTTGAGGAAGGCCATGATTGAACATTTTAATACGATTGGATTTCTCATAGGTGGGTACTCGCACAAATAACTCTAAATGGCACATTGAGTCCAGTTCCAAGTCTATCAACGTGCACAGTGGCGTTCCCAACAGACTATAGAGATTGCTGTGGTGTCAAAGCTCGGTATCGCTTCCTGCTTAGGTATCTAATCCGAGATTCCTTCAACCACGGTGTAAAACAGATGGTTTTCCGAGAGCTCTCGACCAAGCAATTGAGTTTGAGCGAACAGTGAGTAGATTACACATCGGTGAACACGAGATTCTCTCATTCTTTGTCCACTAAAACCCGCCTTCATCCCCCTTCAACTTTCACTCACTCACTCACTCACTCACTCACTCACTCACTCACTCACTCACTCACTCACTCACTCACTCACTCACTCACTCACTCACTCACTCACTCACTCACTCACCCACTCACTCACTCTCTCTCTCTCACTCTCTCTCTCTCTCTCTCTCTCTCTCTCTCTCTCTCTCTCTCTCTCTCTCTCTCTCGCTCACTCACTCACTCTCTATCCTTGTAACTGCCAATCGTAGGTCGGACCATGCAAAAAGGTCCTCTTCTACAACTGTCCACTCGATGTGCTGGAGCAACGTCTCCTCGAGCGCGGCAAGACAAGCGGTCGTGCCGACGATAACATCGATACAATCAAAAAGCGCTTCGTTACCTTTGAGAACCAGAGCATGCCTGTTGTGCAGCACTACGAATCCGTTGGAAAGCTCGTAAAGGTAATGTGGGTTTTGTTGAATCGCAGTATGCTCATTCGGCTAACTCATTTCTCGTATAGATTTCATCAATTCCGACGATCGATGAGGTGTACGAGTTCACCAAGAGGGCCCTCGCAGATGTGCTCCCAATCAACCACCCAAATATAGTGTTTGTGATAGGTCTGGCCACGATGCTGTTGGCATGAACTTGCGAGTGTTGATAATCGTTAGTATTCACCAAATTGCTCCAACTCTCTTGGCTGCAGGAGGTCCTGGATCCGGAAAAGGAACGCAGGTGCTCCCGTTTGGCTCAAGAATTTGGCCTCATCCATCTCTCAACGGGCGATCTCCTGCGAGAGGAAGTCCAAAAGGGGTCGGAGACGGGCCTCAAGGCCGATGCCATAATGAAAGAGGGCAAGATGGTACCCATGGTAGTGTGTTGTCATAAGTTTAGGATAGGCAAATTGGATCATGTTGATTCAAAGCCGACGGACAAGCAGCACCGATCTCGTATCTCTGTCGAGCTCATCCTTCTCGTTTCGCAGAGCCTCATCCTCTCGTTGCTCCGGAACCGCATTCAAGAGAACCAAACAGCGCCGGGGTTTTTAATCGGTAGCGTATAGCAATCATGCAGTGCTGTATCGGACTGAAAGGCTGACCGTATTATGGAACTATTCACGATTAGATGGATTCCCAAGAAGTATGGAACAAGCAGTGGAGTTTGAGCGGATGGTATGACGATACGGTTGCAAATTTCCAGTCTTGACCGCTTTTGTTTCAGAAGTAGTACGGATGACTTCGTGGCGAGCTTATTCTTATGGCGGCCGATAGATTGGCCGTGGCCGAGTTGCGCTCTCGTTCAGCTGTCCTCTCGATGTCCTTGAGCGACGCTTACTGGAGCGCGGAAAGACAAGTGGCCGTGCAGATGACAACATCGACACAATCAAAAAGCGGTTCATCACCTTCCAGGAGGAAACCGTGCCGGTCATGAAGTACTTCAAAGACGACAGACGCGTTGTGGAAGTAAGCCTGTGGTCGCCGTCTGGGCAAGCCCAATCACCCTCAAACGGGGTTCTCAATACCAATTTGTCTGGACGAGTTGAATGAACAAGCATTCATGATCACAATACGAGCCACTGACTCACATCACTCTACCTAGATCACGTCCGTTGGAACCATAGACGAGGTGTACGAACAGGCCCGGACATCGTTCTTATTCATGAAGCCTCCAGTTCAACACCCAAACATTGTCTTTGTTCTTGGTAAGCACTCGATGCGCCGTTATGAAGGCCTGAAGCTGAAGTCAAA